CGAATGAACTCATCGATCTAAGCCCAGACAAAGAGAATACCCCTACACCTGTAGCTTCTCCTGCTAGGCATGTTCATGTTGATGATATTGAGGTTGTTTTACTATTCTGAAATCTGCTTAGATCTTGAAATCTGTCACCATATCTGCCAGTTGCCATTTTTGATCTTTGTCTTTACATTTTATAGATTGATGATGATTTGGAAAATGAACTCCTTGCTCAGCTGGACATGTTGATGGATACTCCGGCTAAATTTGGATCTGCCACAGATGGTAAAGGGAAGGCAGTTGCTAAAGAAGTGGATTTTGACATCAACCTTCCTACTCAGGAGCAGATTAGTTTTGCGATCATGACCTTGCAGGAGCTCCTTGATGGTGGTCCCTCCCATTTCTGCAAAGTGCCGGACCAGCCAGCCGCCTTTGAAGCGGCTCAAATCCTTAGCCGAGCTCCACAGTTATCATCATCTCAACAAAAATTCTGGGCAGACTTCACCACCATCTACACCCATTTCAGCAGAAAATTTCGGGTGCTTGAAAGCAAAGTAGCGGCTGCAGATTCTGTCAGGAAGTCTGTAGCGAATAGCACTGTCGCTGTCTTGAAGAAGAAAGAAGAATTCTTGGCAGCAAAGGAAGCTCATGTCATGCAAGTTACACATGTCCAAGGGCTTAAAGAAAAAATCTCTAACCTTGAAGCCGAGCTTTCGGAGTTGAAAAACCAGGTCCCTCTTGCGGAGCAAAGTGAAACAGAGTTTGGCAGAACAGAGAAACAAGCTCCGCGTAGACATGGAAGTTGGTTTGAAATCTGCTGCCAAGATTAAGGATCAACTACCTTCCTTCACAGCCTCAGCAGACGAAGCCGCCGAAGAGATAAAGACCATGAAAGAAGAATGGAGCTCATGGCAAAACAACCTTGGTTGATTTTTCTCTTATGTATCTTCTTATCTCTTTGTTGGCTGGGATTGCACATTGTTATGTCTGAACATATTGTTTGCGGCCTATTGGCCATGCGAACTTCTCTTCAATGTTGATTTCTTTTTTTTTGGCTCATATCCTGGAAATCTGCTTGCTGTACTTTTTGTTCATACTCTGGTACAGGTTGAAATCTGTAATGGCCAAAATCTGGCCATTGTGGTTGTTCACAGCTAGATTTGGCCTCAAATCTGTCTCAGGTAGAATCAATGGTATCCAAATCTCTAGCCTCCCATATCATAGGATAGTAAGGCTTAAGGTAGATTCCATTTATTTTTCGAGGATGTAGCTCTCCATTTAATGATTCAAGCCAATATGCTCCTCCTCTAAGCACTTCATGTATTCGAAATGGTCCTTCCCAATTTGGAGACCATTTCCCAAATCTGGGGTCTTTCTTTCCAGGTGGCAGAATTACTTTCCATACCAGATCTCCTTCTGCCAGACTTCTAGATTTCACTCGTTTGTTGTATGCCCGAGCCACTTTTAACTTCTGCGTTTGCAGCCTATCTAAGGCCGTCAATCGCATACCTTCAAGGTCTTCTAACTCTAGAATCATTGCTTCATTATATTCTCCAGAAGTGAGACCATGTTGAATTGCTATACGCAATGATCTAGCAGATAACTCCATGGGCAGAACAGCATCATGTCCATAAGTTAAAGAAAATGGAGTTACCTTGGTAGAACTCCTTTGTGAAGTTCTATAAGCCCAGATTGTGTCAGATAACAGCTCATGCCAATACCTTGGATTATCATCAACCATTTTTTCCAGCAGATTTATCACAATTCTGTTGGAAGCTTCAGCTTGACCATTGGCTTGAGCATAATGAGGGGTTGAAGTGAGTAACCTAAATCCCATTTCTTTTGCAAATGCTTCAACTTGTGCACCAACAAAAACTGTCCCCTGATCTGAAGTCACTGTTTCTGGCAAACCGAATCTGTGAATGATTTCCTCCTTGAGAAATTTAATAATATCGGTTTGGTCAACCTTCTTCATTGGCTTTGCTTCCACCCACTTGGTAAAGTAATCTGTGGCAACAATAATAAAAGAATGCCCTCTAGTCGAAGGAGGATAAACTTTACCGATCAAATCTATGGCCCATCCTCGAAATGGCCACGGTTTGACAATTGGATGGAGTTCTGACGCTGGAACTCTCTGCAGTGGTCCATGAATCTGGCAGGCTTTACAACCTTTAGCATAGCTGATGCAATCTTTCAAGATTGATGGCCAAAAGAATCCATGTCTACGAATTAGCCATCTCATCTTAATTCCATCTTGGTGTGCACCACAGATTCCGTTATGCACATCTGACATAATCTGGCAGTACTCATCTGGACCAAGACAGCGCAGAAGTAATTCATCATGTCCCCTTCTATAAAGAACACCTTCCAATAGAACATAATTCAAGGCCTGCATTTTTGTTCTTCTTGAGGCCTTAAAATTTGGATTTTTGAGGTATTCCATGATCGGATAGCGCCAATCTGTCTGGGTTATGTCTATGGAACAAGCAGAAATTGCCATACCTCGCATGTGAATAGATGGCAGAATTCGTTTTTCCACAACAACAATTCTGCTCATCACGCCTTCTTCTTCCTCAGTCAAATCTGCCTGGTGACAGACTGCAGATTCTGACTGCTCTTTTGCTTGAAAGACCAAAGGAAGAGTGATCACCAAGCAAGATAAATTCACGGAAAACTCACCAAAACAGATTACATCTGATGAATTTTCCGCTTTATCTGGCATGTCAAACTTCGCCTTCAAACCAGTTTCTTCATTGGATTCCACAGCCAGAACTCGAGGTGATGTTGGAATTCTGGGTGGTTCTTCCTTTTTTGGAGCATTCTGACCAGATGAGCTCCCTTTTTCCTTACGGACCCACACTGATTTCCTTCTTGCTGGGAGCGGCTGTGCCTGATTTGCCATGCCCCCCGAGTATGTAATCTGCTGTTGGTGTCTTTCTGCAGCCCTTTTGCGTTGTAAACGTCTCCTCAAGGTCCTTGGATTCTGACCTTTAGGAAATTTTGGATGTACCACACGTTCCCATCGTTTGGTTGGAGATCTGGGTGGTGGTTTCACCATTCTGGGCTTTTCTGCCAGATTTGCATTATTTTTCTGTTGAGTTGAGTTGTGCCCCCCGGACTGTCTCCTTCGGTATGAACCGGATCTGACCTGATTTCTGCGGGTCCTGGCCTCCTCAATGACCCACCTCAGATCATCAGCTGCAAGTCTGCGCCTATAGTATGTTTGAGTTCTGTCTCTGGCAATGCTCTTGAGATATGCCGCGTTCACCCCAACAGACATGGTAGGGAATGGATCTGCGTCAACTCCCATAGTTTCTTTGGCCTTATCTGGAAAACGCAGAATTCCCTTGTCGATTTTCTCATGTAAAACATTCCGAAAAATCACACAATCATTAGTGGAATGTTTTCAAGAATTGTGATATTTGCAATATTCTCTATTTCCAATTTCGCCAGCCATTGGGATTTTATGTCCCGGCGGCAACTTAATTAGACCACTCTTTTTAA